AAGTGTTTTTGTACTAAAATGGTCTTTATTTCATTAATTTCATGATCAAGGTTCCACAAGAAAAGATCTTTGACAAACCAGTTTCGGGTTTTACCAATATTTTGTTTTAAATGTGCATCATGCTGCATGAGAAAGGGCTCTCAGTTCAAGTCTCAGTTTTAATGGAACCTATCAGCGGCCATCTCTGTATTAGCTGAGTAGTCAACAGCTAGCCATGGCCCAGAGTGACTGATTAATAAGAGGGGAAAAAGCCTGGAGGAGCTTTCATCTGTTCAAAAAACAAAAGTCACATGTGTTGGAAGGGTTGTAGCCACCTGCACTCCCTGTTGTGGAGTGTTCACATGCAGATATCTGTTTCCTACCGCTGCGGTAGATGGTAGATGTGGAGGACATGTGCAGTACATGATGTGAAGATGTAGGTCTTTGTAGGCCTACTGTGTAAATTATGCTCTCAGATGACACTCAATGATGAAGGCCCAGTCATGTACCTAACCACTCTCTCATTCACAACTTCTAGTGTTTCAAGCTGTAACTTCTATGTGTCTGAGTGTGTTCATGTTCACACACCTCCTGCTATAATAATGCTTAAAGAACATGTGGACAAACTGTTGAAATGTTAAACCAAATAAGACTCACACACACAGGCTTTATATTATTGTGAATGGGCAGGGTCTCATTATGGTATAAAATAGAAAACATTAACGGCTTTTAAAAGTAAGATTCATTTTTTGGGATTTGAAGGTTATTTCAATATTCATGCAACAAAACCAAAATAAAAGCAACTGAGATCTTCCCTAGAGTAGAAGTTTGTGTACCTTTAGATGTGTTCTACATGATTCATTGGTATTCAGGACAACATCAATTATGCACAGTGCAAATGTGATTAAATCTAATCACGTGGAAATCTTAATCACACCAAAACAACAACCTGCACTGTTTGCATATACCACATTGATTAACAATAAATAAATCTTCTAGCAGTTGGTGAACCACTGTTATTCGCTCCTTCTCCTGATGTTGTTACAGTATATGTTGAAATAAAGATGTACTATGGAGCCCTAAAACTGACAAAATGTAACCAGTTTAGTAAAGAAACAGGAAAAATCTTTTTCTTTTTTTTCATAACCACCAATTATTTGATGTTAAAATAGAACAATAAATTCAAACTTTATTTCAGTGTTATATTTATCTTTCACATTTTCTATTTTCCCAATTTAACATTTCTCATTTCCCTCACCACCTTTCCAGCTTTCTTACATGATAAGGAGATAGGGGTGACCGTATGACCAAGGGACAGTGGATGGAGCGAAACACCACTTAGGCATTTTTGGTTTTAACTTAACTTCTGCAGGAAGCAAACTTGCTAACTTTGTTGCATTAGGTTGCTGGTTAAAATACTTTCGCTACTGTTACAAGAGTTTACAGTGATGCTACAGCAGTACGCAGTGAATGGATGTTTTAATTTCAAAAAGAAAGTTAGCTTAAGCTAGGTAGCTAGCTGAAAAGGCTTTTAAATAAGATAAGATAGACGTTATTGATCCTACATCTATATCCTATATCTCGCTACAGCAGCTCCAGATATCACACAACAGATAAGAAAATACACATTCAATTCAATAAAAAATGAATAGAAAAATGCAAAATATAATGAAAAATAGAAAAAATAGAATAAGCGTTGTACAGTATATACAGCTTTTTGTATACAGCTGTTATTGATAAGGAACATTGCACTGGTCACAGCAGGAGGGAGTGGCATGGTGTAAAATCAAATAATTGCACAGGGACAAAACTAAATACAGCAGTATAGATTAGTGGAAATATATGCAATCAACAAAGGGCTACGAATATACAATATAGGTCTAATATTAATAATGTCCAGCTATCAGTATTTACGCTCAGCTCCGACACAGTCCTCTCGATTGCTCCAATGACGCTACCCACACATACACAGGTTTTAATTTATTCTACCAAGTGATTGGTGCTAAAAGCATTTTCCATACTCCATATAGTAGCCTATTATTCATTGATAGCTATATATGATTTGCCTTATAACCATATACCACTTTATAAACCTGTATGATTTCAGATTGATTTAATTACAACATTCTATTCTTAGTCATGCTCAATGCCTTTCGTCTGGATTTGAAAGCTCTGAGAGCTGCTCCTGCTGAGCCTCCTCTGCCTCTGATCTGCGTGGACAGCAACAGTGAGAGGCTGATCCACCACAACTAACTGAGCACAACATCAAATCTCAATCTGCAGCTGATCTCATGATGGGACTGACTCCAATGACAATGACACGGAACATAGCAAAACAAGATGAAAACATTATTTTCAAAGGTTGCCATGGCTACGCTATCACAAACATAGTGTTAAATGGCGTTTTTCTTTTTCTCCCAGACGTCCTTAAAAAGTCATGATCAAGCTTTTCTTGGCTTGTAGTCACAGCCAGTCTAATGCTAATCATCTGTTGGTTACCAGGATTCTCTGCATGAGGGAAGATAGCTGGCAACATTTCACTAGAAATCATCATACCAGCCTATACTGTTATGACTTGTAGCATGTCTATGATAATCAACAGTAGGTTTAAACAGACAAAAAATCATGCTTAAAACAGAAATGTTTTGATAATCTATATATTATATCTAATTATTTATACATATATGTATATAATTCATTCATACCATTCATTCTTACAGAAATACTGAGACAGGCGGCTGGATATTGTTTAAAGACATGGAGATATTATTGTATTATATAGGAAAAATTCAACTCCTTATATGCTCCTGTTTTGAATCAGATTTAGTGGTATTTTTTCCAAAAATAAACAACTTAAATGGAACATCTACAAAAAATAAAATAGCAGATCTGCAGTGCATATTTATACGCTGGATGAAATTTCCAAATTTCCACTCATCTCATATATCACATCACAAATTGTTATGTTTTGGCTAATACACTGAATTAAATACCTGACAAATTTAAGTACTTCATCACCTTAATGAAAAAATAACAACAACCCAATATTGCCATAAAGCTTCCCTGCTCATTGATTTTTACAATTGGCCAAAATGCCCTCATAGCCCCAGAGAAATTGAATGTAGAGTTACTTTGGTATAAACAGTCCCTGCTGGGGACCCACATTGAGAACCCATGCCTTTCTGTGTGCTACATGCATGCAATATTGTGCAACTGTGTTCCAATTATGCTCTGTTCAGGCCGGCTGAGCCTGTTGAGTCACTATTTACATGAGCACAAAGTACGTCTTCAATAAAGTGGCTTGCCTCTGCATGGAATGAAGCATACAGAGATGATATGACCTTGTTATTATGCACACCAGAAAAATATAACTCAAAAGAACATGTATATGGAGGCGAGTATTTGTTCCCCCAGCAGGAGACTTGTTTATCAGGAACCATATTCAGGTCAGTCAGTAAAAAGCTCCTTGTCTCACAACATTCAATGCTGCTGCTTTGCCACTGTGGTGACTAATCTTTGTAAGATAATTATTACACCAACAATTAAACCAAACAAGCAGAGTAATGTCTGCACAATCCAGGTGGCATCTATTAAGTTTTCTTAATGCTAATAAATCAGTGGTCTCTTTTAGCTTTCACTGAGTGTTGCTCATCTGCTCCATTTTTGTGCCACACAGTGTGAAACTCTATGCTGCTGACATAAATACGCTTTAACTGCCACCAGCTAACAGGCAGCTCTGTGCTGAGATACAGCTAATTTACAGAATTTCTCCACCATACATTGAATGCGCAATGTGTTATTCTGATTAATTCAGGGCCGTATAACTTCAGCTAAAGCAAATGCACATCTGGCAGGATGCCATAAGACTGTGCAGCATCTGGACCTCTCTGTGTTTGTGTTTCCATAGGAAGTAGCAGAGCAGCTCAAATGGAGGCTCTATCAGATTGAGGTTCTATCTGCGTTGTGAATTCATTGCAGCACATTTCACCACAAATCAATCCCACTGCAAAAAAAATGAATGCATACTGCCACACTCATTTCTCAGCAGACATCAGGATCAGTGCTGTTCACAACGTTGCTTGGAGGAACAGAACAACAAAGGAATACCTTGTGAACTATTCCTTCATGTACAGTGTGTTGACAGCGTTGGTTAGGATGTGGAGTTTAAGATGAGCAAAATACAGGTGGATACCCAGGTTTGATTTATCCCCTAAAGGAAGATTTGGGTATTTATACATTTATAATAAAATTCACATACTAATAACATAATTTATAGGTTTATATGAAGCATTTGATAGTTTATTATTATGGTCAACCAGATGCCCCCAATAAAAAGTTGAAAATGTCATCCAAATGTCACAGAAAAACTTAATATCATGCAGCTGCAACACGTTCAGTCATGTAACACAGAAAATCCTGTAATTCACCCCAAACTGCACTAAGTACCAGAGACAAACATGAAGTTTCCATACAAATGTCAGTAGCTCAGTGTGTAAGGACTTGCTTGGGAACCGGAGGGTTGCCGGTTGAAATCCCACAGACCACAATATGGAGTGTGGACTGGTAGCTGGAGAGGTGCCAGTTTCACCTCCAATGCACTGCCGAGGTGCCCTTGAGCAAGGTAACCTAACTCCAAGAAACTGCTCATGGGCGCTGCTAACGTGGCAAGCCCATCACTCCGCCATCTCTCTCCCTGTTTGCATGTCCACAAGTGCATGAAGTGTGTATTTCAGCCTGTGTGTGTGTGTGTGTGTGTGTGTGTGTGTGTGTGTGTGTGTGTGTGTAAGAATATAAAGAGTGAAAAGAAGAATTTCCCCAATAGGGGATTAATAAAGGATATCTTCTTCATGACGCCATGAGAGGACAGAAATATTAATCAAGCAGGATGATGTCCAGTGTACCAACTATTCTACAAGTGACAGTTTTGACAAAAATGAATGCAAAAATGCAAAGATGTCCTCTGAGGTGTTTGTGAAAATCTATCATGATGCGCGGGGAGACAGAGATAAAGAATGACTCACCTCTCACAGGAACTGTGACTCAAATCCTTTCCACAAACAGCTCAGATGGACTGGAGGGTGCCTCTGTGGAGCATCAGACCGGTGGATTTACGCTTCGTGAGACTGGAGATGCTGAGCTCTGTGTGAGAGAAACAGAGAGAGAGCGAGCAAGACAGTAAGAGAGAGAGAGAGAGAGAGAGAGAGAGAGAGAGAGAAACAGAGAGAGAGAGAGAGAGAGAGAGAGAGAGAGAGGGAGGGGAACTCCCCCTTCAGATCTGACAGTGTGGACACGACATGCAGCTACTTCCAGTTTTTTTTTTTTGCCATCTTCCTCACAGTGAGTTGAGAGAAGAAGCAGCCAAAAGCGCAGAGCTTCCTCCATGTTGTAAAGATTTTGTCTGTGATGAGCTCCATTTTAGAAGAATTTAGCTCTTATAGACTTAAAATTCAGCCGACAGTATAGGGAAAAATATGATGAGTAGCGACCGGAGGAGCAGATATTTTGACTTTTGCGTGTATTTGTTGGGTTAAACTCCATACAAGTCCATACAAATACATTTCTGTATGGAAATAAACGTGTTATTCTGAAGCATTATCACTGGTATCAACAGAGTAAACTACTAAATGCATTTTTACCAAATAAGGCTTTTAGGTAAAGGACATTTACAGGAATAACAATGCTGATTTTGTAAACAGCAGTGTAGTGTAATTTTTAATGTTTAAAGTTTTTTTTTTTATTATATGGATTAAATACAATATGTAATCTATGCCACTATGGGGGTCTCTCATAACAAGGCAATAACAAATGACAAAGTTTGATGACGTTGTGAAGTAGCATGAGTTGCTGTTTTGCAATCAAAGGACACCCTGGAGGGCTTGAAAGCCAAGCTGCTAACATCATTAGTTCAGCTTGTTTCTCTGATAACTTAAGTTCCAGATGTCGGGTGACTAAGCGACCAAGATCCAAAAAGTGTACTGTAAAAATGTGGTTTAAAACTAGATAAAAACATTTGGTTTAAACATTGTTGGATGTTATATATTATACATTTAAGTAGAACAAATATTAAACATTGGTGAAATGTGAAGTTATTGGCGAAATGCTCCCCAGTGTGAAAACACATAGTGAAGTGATTCAGGTATAACAATGGATTATGGATTATCAAAGCGCAGGTGGCAGAAGCCTCAGCTCTTCCAGTTATCCACAATCAGGATACTGAACCTCAATTTGTTCTTGATGAGCAGGTCAGAGTGAGCAATGTTAAAACACAATACAGCACTGCATTAAAAAAAGAAAGGAAATGACCTATTGCAGTCTCAATAAATAGCTTTCCCATCTCCTGTAAAATCATTTGCTTGGACTTAACAAATCAATTTCAGCTGAATTGATGGAATTATGTTGTATCAACTTGAAAACAGTGAGTGGGAATCTTTTTGTTTTTAAGTTGAGTCAAGGTCTTTTTTTTCTTTTTTTTTTACCTGGTGAGCCGCCGTATTTGTAAGATAAGATGATTTATAATGATGATGATATTATGATGATATAATGATAATGATTTAAGATATTATTTAATATGACCCAGACTGCCCACAGCAAAAGTTCTTCTTAGAGAATAGTACTCCATTGATTTAATCACAAAGTTTGGGGAGTCAATCGATGCAGCAGAGACCAAGACATCCGGACTTTTAGAATCCTAGTCTACAGTTCCCATGACCCAGTTTGATAGCATCTTTCTATCACTCCATGCAAAGCACCCTTTAGTATCAAACCCCCAAAAGTTCATACTGTAAAGCATATTTTTCCTTACAAATGTTCCAGCCCAAGCGATAACGAGAGAGCGAGATAGAGATAATGACATTGCTCATTTATTTTCTCAGACTTGACAGAGCTCCTGGATGACCACAGAGGACATTATGTAACAGTTTTCACAAGCTGAGTTGTGCCCCTTGTGAGGCACAGTAGCAGTGTTCCCCTATGTGCATTCAACACAGCTGTAGCACCACTGCTATATAAAAATCTCACCAAACACAATAAACTACTACTATTTCTGCTTTAAGCAACCAGAGTCAGGATTATAAACATCAACACCCCTAGACATTACCACCCTTTAGCTGTCTGTTATTGTGTAATTGGTCGTTCAAAAGCGCAGCGGGCAACTATCTACCTATTAGAATAAAGTTCTGCAAAGATGTAGAGATGACACAGAACAGCTAAAGACCACTCCTCTAACAAAGGTGGGAAAAAACAGACTTCCTCGTCAGTGAGATGTATAGAGAATGTATATTGTATAGCAAAAGGATCAGAGGTCCTAAAGCTAGGGTAGGTAATGTAAACTAGCAAGAGACCGCTAGATTTTGAAAGTATCCAACGAAAAAAATCCCACCCCCTCCCTTCAGATCTCCCTCCGAAGCCACTCCTCCAACACACATGAACATGCAGTGGCTGAGAGGAGAACAGTGCATAGTTGTCATCGCTGACCATATCAAACTACCACATTCATACATGGTTCTACATACTCCATAGTTCAGTAAAATAAATAAAAATTCCTCACATTTACCCTTCAAACAGTGCGATTTTATTCTCATTGGAACAAGTTGCCTTTGATTTTTAATTAATTTTATATTTTAAAAAAAGCAAAAAAAGCAAAAAAACATTGCAACATGCATTGCATTTTTATAAAAGCTGCTGTGAAATCAGGCAGGCAAGCCACAACAATCCCAAAAACTGAAAATGAAGGAGGGGAGACAGGTTATTTGTCTCCTGTATGAGAAATAGGGGTGTAAGAAAATATAGAAAAAATCTATTCACAAAAACATTGTATCAATTTATGTAAACTGATAACCGTGACGTTAGATGCTACAGTGATTGTGATAAATACAAATCCCCCTCTTCTGGTTGTAAAAAAGTAAACTTTTTTTTTACTGTATGACCGTTTTTCTAAATTTAGATTTAAAAATAAATAAATCACATTATATCACCTTGCTTACAGTATCAAAGTATGATCGTAACCCCTGTAAAAACTGCATATATATCTAATGCAGTTTGAGACTGTTTAGCATGGCGGCTCTGTGAATATAGCTTGTGTTCAGGTCTTAGATCTTAGATCATTTTTTAAATTTAGATCTTATAATCTTATAATCATATAATATCTTCTTCACAGAATCAAATAAACTACTGTGTATATTTTTTAAGTTTTCTTGCACCCCTTACAAACAAGAAGGCCTTGCAGCCTTGCTTTGGCAACCCCTAGTGGGGGTCCCGACCCCCAGGTTGGGAACTACTGGCTTAATCAAGTACCATTGTTTATCAGAAAGTATGAAAGAGAGGTGAGAGGAGGAGAGACATGACAAAACACAGGACAGAGGCATTCTTTATTAAACGTATTTCAGCATCTACAACTTCATACAAATACGTTTCTAAAGCCCTTCTTGTGTAAGCAGCCACAGTAAAAATAATTAGACAGGAGAAAAATAAAACTCACATCAGCATTGCTGCTAGAAGACTTCCTAGGGAAACACTGATCATAGTGCAAGACTTCACAGCATTTTTCTCATGTTTTTGTTGGCTGTTTCTTTGTGTTTTTGCAGTTTCCTAATGAGCTTGTTCATCATCTACAGGAAAAGGAAATACCCCACCCTCAGTAATACAGAGTTGGTCAAACTATATGTTCCTTATCTATATACACAATATGTTCACCTTTTTGATCATAGAATTCACAGCAAATAACAGTGTCACTCAAAAATAATATACCAGATCATGGCATTTTGATACAGTCCATACATAAATTAAACCTAAATTCCTTTATATGTATAAAATAAATAGCTTTTTTCAGTGTTTTGCTCTATAAACTAATTAACCGACAAAATGGCAGTTTAATGTATGACTCAGAGGCAATTGGCTTGATTGTGTTCTGCTTTTTTATTTTTTTACTCTCCACATCCTCCAAACAGGCTGCTCATTTTTTATCTCCTATGTGCAGCAAAGGAGGCTTTAAATATAAGAACACAGAAGGAAGGATGTTAATTTCTGTACAAATACACTTCTATTCCCGACAGTCACATCTCCTCTGTGCTTTTTCTAATCGGTTCTGCATACACTGCTTCACTCAATTCTTTAACTTTGTTAGCCAAAGTATTGGACTAAAATTTGAGACAATTATTTCCTTTCTCTCTCTCTTTTTTTTTTTTTTTTTATGTTTGTTTGTTCTATACAAATCCAGGACACTGAGTTTCTCCAGAGGCTGAATATATCATGCTTCTCTTCCTGCTCTTCAATCCTCTTCATATCCTTAAATGTTAGTTCTCTTTGTACTGGCTTATATTTGCTTCAAGCGTGACATTCTAGGTCTCCAGCAAATCTTTGCATTTCCCAGAAGACGACATGTTTGACACAGGGTATTATGGCCACATGAAAATGCGTACTGTCTCCACATTGAACGCAGTTCCTACACACATATATTTACCAGCCTGAGGTTGTCTTTCAGTCAGAATGTGCGGCCTTATTTTCTTCGAACAAAAAGCCCCTTTAAGATGCGTGACAGAAAATACCATGGAAAGAAGTAGCTTGCATAAGATGACAAAGGATGACATTCACTGTTATACAAGTCTGTGTTGCTTAATCACTTTGATTGATTGAGCAGTTATAGTATAGCATAATTACTTCCCTCCCATTGACAATAAATGGTAAATGGACCTGTACAGCGCCTTTCTAGTCTTCCGACCACTCAAAGCGCTTTTACACTACGTGCCACATTCACCCTTTCACACACACATTCACTACTCAGTGATGGCAAAGTCCATCGAACAGAAACCAACATTCATACACATTCACACACCGATGCACAGCATCGGGAGCAATTTGGGGTTCAGTATCTTGCTCAAGGACACTTCAACATATGGCACCAGGAGCCGGGGATCGAACCCACAACCTTCCAATTAAGGAACGACTCGTTCTGCCTCTGAGCCATAGCTGCTCAGTCACCTAGTTCAACCCCACTAATTAAGTTTGTACTCCCTTTAGACAACACACAAATAGAAGAATAGAATAAAGTTAAAATATAAAAATTTCAATATTTTTAGTCGGGCAAAGTAAGATTTTCATTGTACGTATAAACCAATGTGTTTCTTACTGTACATATGACAATAAACCTATTGCATCTTGAATCTATTCAGCTGAACTACATTTTTACTTGATTTTGTCTCCAAGGCACAGGGTTTATATACTTATGATATGTTATTTATGGCAGG